CTCAGAGTCCCTCTGCTTTCTCTGAGAGGTAGTCAAGCTATCCTCTTTTCTTTTTCCCTTGCTAATTTCCTGGGTTTTCTTCATATTTTTCTGGCAGGCAAGTTCTCGTTGATTTCCACGTGCCATGCCGACCACTGACGGAGCCTGGAAGACAGCGACTCTGAAAACCAACGGCTCCCCGGCAGGCTGGGCTACCGTCACCACTGCCGACCGGGAAAGCTGAGCCCGCGTGGGCCCTCCGCCCGGCGGCACCTCCGCTCAGTTCAGCCCCTTGATATATACTTTTTTTGAGATGGAGTCTTGCTCTGTTGCCAGGCTGGGGTGCAATGGAGTGATCTCTGCAACCTCTGCTTCCCAGGTTCAAGTGATCCTCCTGCCTCAGCCTCCCGAGTAGCGGGGACTACAGACGTGCACCACCACACCCAGCTAATTTTTGTATTTTTAGTAGTGATGTGGTTTCAGCATGTTGGCCAGGATGGTCTCCATCTCTTAACTTCGTGATCTACCCGCGCCTGGCCCCTAGTGTGCTTTTTAATGCTTGACTTCAAACCAATTAAATCAGAACTTGATGAAAGTTAATGAGGGTAGAGGTATCCCAATTACCCTGATTTGATCATTACACATTGTACACATACAGGTTTTAGGTTTATTTTTCTTGTTTTTTGAGATAGGGTCTCATTCTGTCACCCAGGCTGGAATGCAGTGGCAAGTTCTTGATTCACTGCAACCTCTGCCTCTCAGGTTCAAGTGATTCTCCTGCCTCAGCCTCCTAAGTAGCTGGGACTACAGGTGCACCACCATGCCTGGCTAATTTTTGTAGTTTTTGGGAGAGACAGGGTTTCACTGTGTTGACCAGGCTGGTCTTGAACTCCTGGCCTCAAGCCATCCACCTGCCTCAACCTCCCAAAGTGCTGGGATTGTAGGCGTGAGCCACCACCCAGCCCATGTACAGGTTTTAAAATATCACATGTATCCCCAAAATATGTACAACTATTATAATTCAATTTTTTTAAAAAAGCAATCAGAACTGAGCATAAGGCAAGGGTTGAGCACCTGTCAAGGTTTCCCAGGTGGTTCTAATGTGCAGCCAGGATTGAGAACCCCTAACAAGCCACACTGAAGCACATATAGTCAGTTATTCACTTAACCTCCAAGTTCCATATGGACAAACTAAGCTTTGATTAGCTCTCTTAGAAACACGAGTGTGCTTTTTGTTTGTTTGTTTGTTTTTGTTTTTTTACTTAAGCTGCAGTCTGAAGTATTTCTGTAGCGGTTTTACATTGGCACATATAGTCACATATCAAGGTTATGTACATGAATTATCTTCAAGCCAATTGATCTTCAGAAATCAGCATAGCTAGCTATTATACTCTTTTGTATCTTCTTCAGAAATATTATCATTATATTAATAATTGAGTCACTTGTCATCCAGAGTAGTTTGGGTAGGCTGTCTGCTTTGAAAATGTTGTATGTAGCTGGGCGCGGTGGCTCAAGCCTGTAATCCCAGCACTTTGGGAGGCCGAGGCAGGTGGATCACGAGGTCAAGAGATTGAGACCACCCTGGTCAACATGGTGAAACCCCGTCTCTACTAAAACTACAAAAAATTAGCTGGCCTTGGTGGCACGTGCCTGTAATCCCAGCTACTCAGGAGGCTGAGGCAGGAGAATTGCCTGAACCCAGGAGGC